GAAGGTCCCAATGGGAGCGCCCGCATGCCTCAGCCATCACCCGATGCAGCGCTTCGTAGCCCCATCGGGAGCTCTACCGAAGGCCCCAGTGGCACCGCACGCATGCGTCAGCCACCACCCAGTACAGCGTTTCGTGGTCGCACAAGGGAGCTCCCCCGAAGGTCCCAGTGGCACCGCCCGCATGCGTCAGCCACCACCCAGCACAGCGCTTCGTGGCCCCATAAGGAGCTCCACCGCCGGCCCCAGTGGGACCGCCCGCATGCGTCAGCCACCACCCAGCACAGTGCGTCGTGGCCCCATAGGGAGCTCCACCGAAGGTCCCGGTGGCACCGCCCGCATGCGTCAGCCGCCACCCAATATAGCGCTTCGTGGCCCCAGAGGGAGCTCCGCCTAAGGCCCCAGTGGTACCGCCCGCATGCGTCAGCCACCACCCAGTACAGCGCTTCGTGGGCCCATAGCTCCATCGAAGGCCCCAATGGCACCGCCCGCATGCGTCAGCCACCACCCAGCGCAGCACTTCGTGGCCTCAGAAGGGGGCTCCACCGAAGGCCCCACTGGCACCGCCCGCATGCGTCAGCCACCACCCAGTACACCGTTTCGTGGTCCCACAGGGAGCTCCACCGAAGGTCCCAGTGGGATCGCCCGCATGCGTCAGCCACCACTCGTGGCCCCGTAGGGAGTTTCACAGAAAGACCCCAGTGGCGCCGCCCGCATGCGCCGTCCACCACCCAGCACTGCATTTCGCCGCCCCATTGATTGGGAGCTCCACCGAAGGTCCCAACGGCACCGCCCGCATGCGCCCCCCCCACCACCACCATCCGGCACAGCGCTTCGTGGCCCCGTAGGGAGTTCCAGTGCCCCGCCCGCATGCGACCCCCCACCCAGCACAGCGTTTCGTGGGCCCAGAGAGAGCTCCAACGAAGGCCCCAGTGGCACCGCCCGCAAGCGCCCCCCCTCCCGCCCCACAGGGAGCTCCACCGAAGCCCCCAGTGGCGCCGCGCGCATGCGTCGGCCACCACCCAGCACAACGTTTCGTGGCCCCGTGGGGGCTCCACAGGACATCGGGAGCTCCAGCGAGGATCGCCGCCCGCGTGCGTCAGCCACACCCAGTGCAGCGCTTCGCGGGCCCATAGGGAGCCCCACCGAAGGCCCCAGCGGCACCGCCCGCATGCGTCTCCCCCACCCATTACGGGCATTTCGGAGCCAATGTTTTTGACGTCTGCGCTATGCGCTGCTCGCACTGCTGCTGGTTGTGCTGAGTTGCCCCACTAAGCAAGCGAGAAGGTGATACGCAATGCCGGGCTGTAAAACGTCAAACCGTTCGATGCTACGCCAGGCCGGGTGAGGCTACTCACCGATGTTGAGCAGGGACCGACCGTCCCGGCATTTCTATAGGCCTATCACGAAGTGTTTTAGAACCCAAAAATGTTCGAATAACAACAACAATGTTCTCAGCACGTAAGCCCAATGTCTTCAAGCAAGACAGACTCAGCCAGAAATGTTCTAAGAACATTTCGTGCAAACCACAAAAGGTTCTTAGAACATTTGTTGGTGGGCCCATAGGCGAGCCAGGACGCTTCGCCACTGCTTGACGATGGACAACGCTTTCTAGTAACGATATACAGTGCTCTACCATGCCACAGCAGCGCAATGCAATGCTGTACCACGCATCGTACTGCTCTATGATATGCCATGATGTATGAGATGCACTGATGGTGCTGTGATTCGCAAGGCTAGTACATCCCATGTGGTGGTAAGCTGTACTACGCAATGAAACGACATAGTACGATGTGCTAGATCATGATGTGCTAAACAATGCGTTGTTGTGCGTTGCAATGCGATGGTATGCGATTACTAAATGTACAATGTGACAGGATGTGTTGAGACACTCTGTCACAGTCCGCCAGCTCCCTTTGGGGCAGCAAGGCTGCGTGTGCGAGACGTCGTTGTTCTATGCAACAGATCCGGCTCCAAGTGTTATAGTCGTGATTTCGACATGTTCCAGCTCAAATGTTGTGACGGTTGAAGTTCGGGCGAGGACCCCAGAACCAGAATCCCTGCACTGCCATGGCTGCTGGGGGGTTCTCTGCAGTTCTGCGGGCCCTCGGGCACGCAGACACGACACGCTCGCACTCACGAGGCCTCCGCCCCTGGCAAATGAAGACAGATGTGCGCCCCCCGAGGCCACAGTCCCTCATGGATGACACCAAACTCGCGCCCCCCCGGCAACAGTCCCTCGCAAATTACGGCGACATCACGCTCCCGAAGCCACACTCCCCTTGAGAGTGCCTCACCCTCGCGCTCCCGAAACCAAAACCACGGCCCTGAGCAAGTTACGACGAGCTCGCATCCCCGAAGCCACATTCCCCCTGGGAATTCCCTGCGCCCTCGCGTTCCCGAAGCCTCGACCCTTCGCAAGTTACGCTGCACGGGGGCTCCCGAGGCCCCACTGCCCTGCAAATTACTGTGGGCTTGCGCTCCCGAGGCCACAATCCCTTGAAAATGACCTCACGCTCGCGCTGCCGAGCTCATAACACCTGACAAAGTGCAGCGCAGTCGAGTTCCCGAAGCCACAGCCCCTTCTTGAACTATAACGCGATCGCGCTCCCGAGGCCGTAACACCTCCCAATTACAACAGGCTCGAGATCCCGAAACCACAATCCCTGAGAAACCGCTACGTCCTCGCGTTCCCGGGCCCACAGCCCCTCGTAACGTACAGCGTGATCGCGCGCCCAAGGCCACAATCCCTGGAAAAGAAGAACGGACTCTCAGGCCCCGGCCACGATCCCTTGCAAATAACAACGCATTCGTGCCCCCGAGGCTACAATCCCCTGAGAGATGACAACAGGTTCTTGCCCCCAAGGCCGCGAATGCCTTCATATGACAGCACCTTCACGCTCCCAAGGCCACGAAACCGCTCCACGCAGACTGCCCGAAAGCGCCACCCCTAACCGAAATCTATAAGAGTCCTGGGGAGTCCCCGGGTTCCCCGGCTTCTCCCGGCACCCGCCCAGACCCCCCTGGGGAGTCAAGATGCTCTCTTATGAGCCCACTAGAAACCTATCAGTCTTCGCTGTTAGGTGAAAAACTTGCACTCTCTGCTGTGACCTGTGTTCGGGGGGCGCGTTTCGCCCCGCCACCCTCGTGCCCACTCTGCTCCGGACTCAAGGCCACGAGACCTCAAATTATCCCAGTGCGAACCTACCTAGGAGTTGGAGCATTTAGGAAAGCATCATATACATCTATGCTATGCTAGGCTAGGCTATGCTATGATATGCCATGCTGCGCTATGCTATGCTATGCTATTCGATATTATGCAATGCTATGCTGCGCTGTGCTATGCTATGCTATGATATGCTATGATATGCTGTGCTATGCTATGTTATGCTGTGATGTGATATGCTAAGCAATGCTATGCTATGATATGCTATGATATGCTGCGCTATGCTATGATATGCGATGCTATGCCATGCTATGCTATGCTGAGTTATGCTATGATATGCGATGCTTGGCTATGACATGCTATGCTGTGCTGTGCGAATGCTGCGCTGCGCTATGCTGCGCTGCGCTAAGCTATGATAAGCTAAGTTAAGCTAAGCAAAGCTAGGATAGGCTAAGCTAAGGTAAGGTAAGCTAAGCTAAGCTAAGCCAAGCTTACTAAGCTAAGCTAAGCTAAGACAAGCTATGATAAGCTAAGTTAATATGAGCTAAGCTAAGCCAAGTTAAGCTAGGCTAGGCAAAGCTAAGCTAAGTTAAGCTAAGTTAAGCTAAGATGATAATTATAAGCTAAGCTAAGCTAAGCTAAGCTGGGTGAACCCAGGGGGCGCGACTGGGGGAACCGCGGGGCGGGGACTGGGGGAACCGCCCGGGGCGCTTTCCACTGCCCGGCCCCTTTAAGCTAGAGAGTAAGAACCCTTCTAGGCAGAGCCTAGGTAGGGAAAAAAACATGGGGCGCGCGCTCCCGAAGCCGCGGACATCGGCAAGTCACAATTGAAGCGCGCTCCCGAGGCCACCATCCTTCATAATTCGTACGGACGCGCGCAACCGGCCAGCCAGCAAACGGCCCAGATCGATTGCCAGCCGTCAGTGTAAGCAATAAGCCAATCAGCCGAGAGGAGGAGGAGGAGGAGGAGGAGGAGGAGGAGGAGGAGGAGGAGGAGGAGTTGCCAGCCCGCCAACCGATGAGAGAACCAGCCAGCCTGCAGACCGAGCGCGGTCGTGCAGGCAGTACGACAGGGGGGCGGCGGCGGAGGGCGAAGCCCTGCAGGTGTAGCACGGTCGGACCTGATCGGAGAGGACACGCGAGGGGGCACGAGACCCTCCCGAGGGCCGCGCTGCCACGGAAGAGCAGGAGGCACGGGTCGCAGGACACGAGGGTGCCCTTGATCTGGCAGGGTCGACCCACTAATCCGGGCCGCCTGTACATACGCTGCCACACTATGCTGTACCGTGCTATGATGCAGTATGGCATGGCATGCCACGCCTGTGCTGTACGATGAAGTGGTATGCCGTCCGGGCCTACGCGTTGAAACGCTGTATACGGATACGCAGAACCATACAATGCGGGCAAAGGATGGGCCGAAGAGGCAAGGATGCGAGGCTGGCCATGTTGGAGCAATGCATCATCTACTGTGAGTTTGGGCTGTAGCCTGCCCTGGAGGACGCCCTGGAGGAGTCTCTCCTCATACGGTCTTTCGCAAGGCCTGACAATGCGCAAACTGTTTACAATGGATTATCCCACGATTTCCATTTCAAAGACACACTCTCGATAGAGTGGAAGGAAGTGTAGCCGAGAACGAGCAGAAGGCGGGCAGGAGAGAAGGGCCAGGGAGACAAAGGGGGCGGCGGCGAGGGAGACAAAGGGCGGGGGGAACAGACACAGGAGGCAGAGGTAACCGAGATGCAGCCCCTCGTCCCCTTCGCTCCTCCCACCCACTCCCGCCCGCGCCCCTCACATTCCCAGGGGCCACGCGTGCGCGGTTTGTACGATGCCGCAGGTGGTCAACCAGAGCGTCTATGAGCGGAAGCACTGAGCCATTACTGCTCGGGCATGTCCTCCAGCAGGAGAACGCCGACTATCCACGTGCCCTCGCACCTGGCCTCGCACACTAAAAGAGAATGTGGTTCTTGCCCTTTTCCTGGCCCTGGGACCCTCGCGGATCTATCCAGATCGAGATCGTGCAAAGATTGCGTCGGGAACTCTGGACGTAGCTTTTTCAGAACTTCCTGGCTTTTGCCACGACGTCGACTGCCAGCGTTACACCGGCCCTTGCTGGAGCCCCCATCCTGGGCCCGAGACCGGAGGATGACGCCCTCCTGGCGGGGCCAGGACGGCGCGTGAGCATCGCTCCACGATCGGAAAGGCCAGGTCCAAGCTAAGTGGATAGCTGTCGTCCCCCAGTATATCCATTGAGCCCGGGCCAGCTGGCGTCACAAAGGACTATCCGCAAGTAGGAGGTGGAGGAGGATTGGATTGGATTGTCGGCCCTCAGAACGGCGCCGGAGGGTCACAGGCCAAACGCTACACTGTGAAGCAGGACCAAGAGCAGGAGGACAAGGTGCATGAAGAGCAGCAAGGCGGGATGAAGCACGGCGAGGACGACGATAACGGAGGATCCGCCGACCCGTGTTTGCCAGGGGTGTTTCCTCCTGCCCTAGGGCCAGAATCCGCCACCGTGCCTTGGCACATAGTGCAGTGTCTTCAGGTCCCTTAGAGTCCTCCTCTGTTTTGAATTTTGCACATGGTGAGCCAGAGTGAAGGGGACGAACGGTCATTACTTCTCGCTGGGTGCGTGGCGTCATTACTTCTCTCTGGTTGTTGTTGCGTTGCGCTGCGTTGCGTTGCTGTTGTTCTTGCTGATGACTTCTCATCTCTCGAAAATAACTACTGCAGATTCTCATGTGGGCCATGCACATTATGTTTTTCAATTCAAGTGCTCCTCACAGTGCTCGCACCCTGTGTTCTAAAGTTCTATCAGAGAACAAGTTGGTTTTCAAACTGGCTACCTGGCCCCTGGTTAACAACAACAACGACTTCCGCAGGATTCTTCCTCACAATGCACTTGAGAATCGCGCTCTCGCGCGGGACTCTCTCACAATCTGTGCAGGAATCGCGCTCTCTCGTGGAACTTCCTCAAAATGTGCTGCGACGCCGTGCTCCCAAGACTCAGGGATCCCAGTCTCGCTTTGGATTTCCCGGCGATTTGTGTGGGAATCGCGCTATCGCTCTAAACTTCCTTCATGATGGATTGACGATTCGGCGACCCACCCGCTCGACCAGGCCGCTCGGGCCCGCCCGCCCGACCTGCGCGTCAGGGTCCGTCCGCCCGACCCGCCCGTCTGGTTTTGCCGCTGGCGCTCCTGCTCCTGACCCTCCTTTTGCACATCTCTCTCGTGCTCCATCCGTCTCCCTCCCCCTTGTCGGTTCCCTTCTCCCTTCCTTGCCGTCTTTTGGGGGCTGCGCCAACTACACACGGCAGGTGAGGAAGATATACCCCCAAGGGAGTACGATCAAAAACGAAGAGGGCGGGTAACGATGGTTTGGGATATACGTGTTCAACGGCACGCGGAAGATAAGAGCGAACTGCCTTAAACTGATCGTTGCTGCTGCTGCTGCTGCTGCTGCTGTTGGTGCTGACGATGTCGTTGTTGTTGGTGCTGTCGTTGTCGTTGTTGTCGCTGTTGGTGTTGGTGTTGCTGGTGCTGTCTGTGTTAGTGTTGTTGGTGGTGTTGTTGATGGGTGTGCTACTGGAGTTGCTGGTGGCGATATTGCTGCTGTTGTTGTTGTCGTGAATGTCGTTGTTGTCGTTGTTGTCGTTGTTACTGCTGGTGTTGGTTGTTGTGTGTGGTGTTGGTCTTGTTGCTGTCGTCGTCCCCCCTGCGACCCGCCCCGCGACCCACCCGCGATCCACCCCGCGGCGACCCCCCCGCGACCAATCCGCGACCCACCTGCGACCCAGCAACAGCCCCGAAATCGGCGCGCTCGGGCGCGCTCAGGGCTTTCCCGCGTGACTTCTCCTGAGGCCAGAGGGCTCCAAGACAGACCAAGAGGGTGCCAATATAGGCCGAGAGGGTCCCAGGAGGCACCCAAGACGGTCCAAGAGGGCTCCAAGACGGCCCGAGAGCGTTTCAGGACGACCCAAGACGGCCTCAAGGCGGCGCAAAAGAGGTCGACATTACGCCCTAAGGGGGCTCCAAGAGGAGGCCCCCCAAGAGGACAACCAAGACGCAGGCATGAAATGTGTATCTGTAAGTTTGACGGATTATACCGCTCGCCTGTTCGGGCTTCCAGCCATACAAGACGGACGGCCCAAGAGGCCCCCTTTATGAGGGTCCCAAGACGGCCCACGAGGCACGCCAGGCAGACCAAGAGGGGCCCAAGAGGGGGAACACGAACTTAAATGTCGAGCCATCCGCCCCCAGATTACCCCCAACACCCCAAGAGGCCCAAAAGAGGCCATAAAAAAGACCCAAGAGGCCCGAGGCCCCAAGACACCCCAAGACCTTGGGCATCCAGCCTTCAAGAAGCTTCGGAGAGACTTCCCAAGAGACCCTGACAGGCGTCCAGGGGACCTCCAACCCACCATCCAGGCGAGGTGAGAGGATGGGCCGAAGGCCGCTGGCTGGGCGTGGGTGTTGGAATGTCCGCGCCGATCCAAGGCGGGGACATTCGAATGCCCGCCGAGTGGGCGGGGGGAGGCGGCGGAGGGGGGGTGGACGGCCTTCAGAGAATGAAGGCGGGGGGCTTCTAAGAAAGCAGCTGCACCCGCCCTCTCCGAGGGATCGGCGAGTCGGGGTGCCCGGAGGCGCCCCGCCGCCTCACTCGCCGAATTCCTTCTTCTGCGACTCGAGCTCGTCGATGTACCCCTGCATGCACTCCTCCTGTCCAGGAAGCTGGGACGAGGAGCAGAAGGGTAGGGAAGAGGACAGGGGGTATGAGGCGAAGCAGGAGGAGGAGCAGGAGGCGCAGGGGGGAAGAGGGAGGAGGGAGAGGAGGACAAGGAATTGCAGACTCAAGATTGAAACAAACGATATAACTCAGCCTCCTCACCCCCCCTCTCTTCCAGCCCCTTCGCCTCCCACATATCGCCCCACATCGCCTCTCCCCGACATTCTCCGTACCAGATTCCCCCCTCCTCCTCCTCCTGCTCCTTCTTCTCTCCTCCATGCACTAGCATTCGTTTTGCTGATAGGCAGAAAGGTGGCGAGTACCTCCTCCTCCTCCTCCTCCTCCTCCTCCTCCAGCAACTGCATATCACCCTGGATTTGGGAGCCGCGTCCTTGCTTTTCCCCCTGACCTGGTCCCACGCGTCCCACTTCTTGCGCGCCTCGAAGGAGAACATCCCGGGCCTGTCGCCCGTGCAGTCGCCCTCGGTGAACTGCTTGTAGAACTTGTAAAGGTTGAGCTTCCGCTCGGTGGGCACCTTGTGAGACCATGAGTTCTCCTTTTTAACGAACTCCTGAGCTGCCTCGAACTGCTTTTTGAGGTCGTCCTCGGCCGTCACGTCGGCGGCCTTCTCTGGCTCCTCAGGACGAACATGAGTACGAGGTTGACACAACAACTCAGAGGTCCGCGGATTTCTGGGGCCGGCACTCCATCCACACCCCTCCCCTTGGCGCGCCAGGGAGCGGCGCCCGAGGCGCCGACAGGGGGGGGCAGACGCACGAAAGCCATGCCTCCTGTCTGTGTCATTGCTGGTCCTCTATCTCAGCGAGCGAAGAACGGTATAAAATAAACTTTTTCGCTGTCGGGGGCGCCTGTCCCTGGGCGGCTGGAAAGTTTACACCCCTACGGACAGGGCCCAGGGATAGGCGCCCAGGGACAGGCGCCCAGGGAAAGCTTACCGTAGGGGTGTAAACTTTCCAGCCGCCCAGGGACAGGCGCCCCCGACAGCGAAAAAAAATATGTTATACCGTTCTTCGCTCGCTGATCATTGTTGTTCCTCTGTCCTCGGCCATTGCGGAAACGGGGGGGAGCAATTGCCGGTGCCTGGCGCAAGGCAGTGTCGCGGTGGCGTCTTGGGCTCGGTCCGAAAAAGGCGGCGGGGTAGTGTTTATTGTGGAGGGGGCGGGGAACCCAGACAACCGGCCGCTCCAATGTTTTCGATGCGTGGGCCCTGGAGGTCTAGACCGGCTCCCTGAGGCCGGCTTTTCATCCTGAGTCGTTTTTTGATGGTCCCGGGGCCTGGCGAGGGCCCCTGCAGGCCGAAAACGACCAGCATCCTGCAGCTCGAACTTTTGTTGGAGCGTCGGTTCTCGTAGTTGGGGGGGGGGCGAGAATAGAGCAGGACGATACAAGGGAGACGAACAGACTTGGGCACGGAGAACGCGGGGGAGGGACGCCAGGAGCAAGGGAGGGCCCGGCCATGGCCGGCGCAGGTGCGCAGCCGGCGACCTCCCCCGCAGACGTCCTCCGGCATGGTCTTCTGAGTCCGCGACCGCAGGAGGTCCCGTTAGAGGCAACGTCCGTTAGAACGATCCCGATGAAGGTGCCGCTTCACCAGACTAGGCCGGAGAAGGCCCGGGACTTAGCCGGACTGGGCCGAGGCAAACGAGATTAAGCTGAGCTGGGTCGGACTAGCCCAAATTGCGCCGATTATCGACCGCGAAAATACAGCGCCGATACGGAAATCAACCTCCCAAGAGTTGCATCCTAGACAGAGCCAGGACGAGGATACAATCGGCTCAGGATAGATGGAGAATCTCTGACATCCGGCGGCTCCAGAGGATGTCTCGGGCACCGCGGCCTTCTCAGAGCGCTCTGGGACGCTCTGAGAGCGTTCTGAAACGCTCTGGAACAGATTCATCTCGATTCTAGGCCCGTCCAGCCGTCCCCATGGGGTAGGTTCTCGCCCCGGGTCCATTTTTGGTGGCTCTGGGGCATCGACAGCGGGCCCCAGGGGGCGAAATCGCGGAACAAAGGAAGGGGCGCAACGAATCAGAGCGTCGGAGGTCTGGGACGTCCTCGGCTGCTGGCTCAGAGCTCGGGTCTCCGGCGGCTTCTCGGGACGCTCTGGGTAACCCCCAGAACGCGCTCGGCGAGACGTCGCTGCTGGAAAGCATCCCGAGGCTGGAGAGCAGGGAGCACGACCTTTGGCACACCATCCCCACAGACAGGCTGGCCCAGCACAAGTCCTCGGAGAGGAGGTTGTGCACAACATTGGCCTACCCCGGGAGCACCACTTTTGCACACCACCCCCGCCAGCAAGCTGGTCCGACACAAAGTACGCAGGTAGGGGCGGTGGCCATAAATCGGCCCCCGAAGAGCCGACGACTTGCCATCGCTCGGAAGTTCACTCCCCGTGTGTCTTTCTTTTTCGCGCGTGCATTTCTTGCTCGATGATCCAGGATACGGTCCTAGCCGAGAAAAAATGCACACGTCCGAGCGATACCAAGACGAACAGACCCTGAGATCCGACGTTGCGAAAAAGCTGCAAATCACGACTGGAGCCCCAGACCCTATCTTTCTGCGTCATGTTTCGAGCTGGATTGATCCGTGAGGGTCCCGGGGCCCGAAAGGAGGCGAAAAAACGCCCGCTCTGGAAAAAAATGCAACGCCAGGATCTCAGGGGACGTCGGGCCGTCCGGGAATTCGGTCGGGCATATCCTCCTACAGGCGGATTTTGGCAGAGAATGACCAAAATAGTGGAAAGACTGGCCCCCGACTACTCTTGGACTGTGTTCTCGAATCTTCCTCCTGTAGAGGGACATGCCCGACCTGATCCGAGAATGGTCGTCGGCGTTCCCGGGCCGCGGCCGCGGCCCGCCGCCGCGGGCCGCCGCGCCTCCGCAGCTCCGCGGAGGGCGACGACGGCGAAGCCGCGGCGCCCGCTGGCGGGGGCGCGCCGCCCGCGGGGCCGCGGGCCCCCGGCGCTCCTCGGGGCCCCGTCGCCGGCGCGCCACCGAGAGACGGCGCCTCCGCCAGCGCGGCTTCGGCCGCGCCGCCCTGCGAGTGCAGTCGAGACGTGCGGCACAGACAGCCCGCACGGAGAGGATGGGCAGCCTTCCCGAGGGTACCCTTGCATCCTTGCCTCCTCGGTCCAGCCCTGGCCACTCTCGTCGGCCGCGCCCCGCTCCAGGAGCTTCGAAATGGCCTTCCAAGGCCCTCGCATTCTTATCGCGCGTCCTTGTCAAACGGGCTAACTGTAAGGACGGGTGGTAAGGACGCAAGACCCTTGGAGGCCGAAGTTGGTATTATTTGGGCGGCGGGGGACCAGCGACAACGGCCAAGGATGGGCCGCGGAGACAAGGACACAAGGGCACCCCAGATGAAGGCGCACGTCCTTACTAGGCGCATTGACTGTAGGGAATCGACTACAGAACTGATTTGCCCCAGAATTATGTTGTCCGCCGAATCCGACGAGGAAATCAACTCTGGGGCAGATCAGTTCTGCAGTCGATCTCTCACTCGTGCCCTCCGCACGGGCCCCCGTCGCTCTCGCCTGAGCCGTCGCCGTCGCCATCGTCGCCGGCGGCGCCGCCACCGACTCCGCCGCCGCCGCGCAACCGCCTCGCCCTCGTGGCTCGGTGCGGCGACCGCTCTCGCTGCGCGTCGGCCCACGGGGCCCTCGCGGGTCCAGGCGGCTCGAGGAGCGCCCAGCCCTCCAACGTCGCGATCTTGTCACAGCGTGGCTCCCCAGAGGTTGGACCCCTTCCCCGCCTTCGCCGCCGCCGCGCCTCCCCCGCCTGCGCGCTCGCAGATCACCCGGCAACACGCAGGAGCGACCTCAGGCAAGAGTGACCTCTGGTGCGCAGCATCAGGGGGCCGCGGAAGTGGCCAAATCCAACCGCACCAGCCAGTGCCAGGGGGACCCCTGTGGGTCGGCACCAGAGGCCCCCGCGGAGGGTCACACCTATGCCTGGTCGAATCACGGCGGCCGCTCTCGCTGCGCGTCGGGCCCTGGGCCCTCGAGGGTCGAGGCGGCCCAGGCGTGCCGCACGGACTCCAGACATCCGGCGTCGTGATCTTTGTCACGTCGTGGCTCCCCAGAGGTCTGGACCTCCCCAGGGCAGGCCTGTCATCCCAGGTGGTTTTGTTGACGGCCCCGGGGCCCGGCGAGGGACCCCAGAAGCCGAAAACGCCCGCAAACCTCTCGTCGCGGTTCTGGGCACGACGCGAGGATGTCAGAGGAGATGGGGGTTGGGCCGGTCTCGCGCTGGCTTGGCGGCGCGCACGAGGGGGTAGTTGGAGGGGGAAGGCTTCTTAGAAGGTTTTCTTTGCGATTCTCGCTGACGAACCTCGGGAGACTATGCACTCTGTCGAAAGCTCCCAGAAAGACAAATCTCTCACGGCTCCGCTCCCGCTCTATCTTGCAAACTTCCTCAACTCGCTCACGCTGGAACAAAAAAAACGTCGGAATGGACAAATTGGAGGTCTGAGCGATCCACCCTTCAGGCTTTGTTTCAACAACTGCCGCTTGGGTGGCTTGGACCATCCATCCTCTTTGCATGGCCGAACTCTCGAAACTGGTGGCAGCATTCCCTGTTGGTCTGCAGGGATT